ACCTTGCTATGATGTATACTTTGACACCCTTATAGAGTCCTTTAATGCATTCTAATCACACCAATAATTACCTTGTTAATTCTAGGTAGTGTCTCATTTTCATACATTTTAATCTGTGCAATATTAAAGTCGCCATCTTAAAATTTGTGCATATGTTATGTGCATATGTATGTTGTGCATACATGGCATGATGATCATCACCTTATAGGGCAGCATTATGTGGCATATTATATTTTGAAGGAGATAAATCATAATATTATACCACTCAGTACACACATTGTTACATTAGTTGTTTGTTTTGTTTGGGCCATAAATTTTCCTAAACGTTGGATATGGGGGTTTAATATAATGTAATTCCACTTTTTCAAAACTGTACACAAGTTATAAATAAGGTTTATGTAGTAATTTTCTAACAGAAAATTTAAAAATAATATTAACAATTTGTAATAATAATTCAAAGAATATTATTTAAAACCACCAATATTGGCGTATTTGAGACTCTACGCCATAATGCTAAAATGTCAATCTACTTGCATGGACCAATCAGATTTTTGTTACATAGTATGGAGATATAGAAAACTATTACACTGGCTTTACAATGAACTGCCATAATATATATGATAAACCTTTATTATTTTAGTTGTATACTTTTATCCAATCACTTGTTTTTATGGATCAATCCAAATTACTGCACTACTACTGCACACAGATAAAATGTCTGTAGATATAAACTGCATAATAATAATATAAGTATCATCTGAGGGTATTGTATGGTAAAGAAAAAACAAATACATTACACAGATTCATTAATGTGTAACTATTAACAATAGTAAGTGACAGGATTCATTGCTGATATCATTTTGATCTGTGGTTGTTCATCAATAAAAATTACATGGAATATTACTAACCTATTCCTGATGAACCGAGAAATAGAAATACCAACGGATGGTCTTCATCATACCAACCATTTTCTTTTCTTCTGATTGCTACAAGTAATAAATAAAACACTGTCTCACATATTTCATTACATTATCATAGAACATACTATAGTCAGTTTCATTGAGGAATGAATTTCTTTGTTATGAAAAATTATTAAATATTTATAAAAATCTCACCATGGAAGACCCTCATGCTTCATTCAATTCCAGAGAGGACAGTTTCATTGGCTATACAAGCCACTTGGTAATGTGACAACAATCAGGGACTAGATATTTTTCATTTATCAGGTGGAATGATACATGGGAGTTGTGATAAGGCTTTTGCACATGTTTGTGTATAGATACTATGCTATGTTAATGTGGTTCGCCACCGAGTTTTCATGGATTGCAAAATGTCTCATCAATGATGTTTGATCCAAATTAATGAATCTCTTAATTATTGGCAGTGAAACTGCCATGTATGCAAAATATCATCTTTAAGGCAGGATACATTCATTAATGCGTTATGATTAATTATTAAAGTTGCTTTCAGTTGCCGGTCACTGGTAACATAGTGGTTGTCACATCAGACTCATGATCGGTAGACCCAAGCTCAAATTCTACCTGGGTGAGTGTGCCACAGGCTCAATGGGAAGGCCAATTCCACTGGTCGAGATTCATCCACGAATGCGACTTTGGGGGAACCTTGGTTAAGGTCCGCAGGTGCTTGTGTTTGACCGAGCCTGGTTGACACCAAGATAGCGCATTAAAATTACCATTTATTAGAGATGGCCACACCATTCTAGATTATTTAAAAAAAAAGTGATTTGTGGGAGTACATCACTGGTAAAACTCTAAAGCCCACCTGAAGCCACTGTTGTTATGGCACCGTCTTGGCCAACAAGAACTTCCTTTATTCTCTTGTCAAGCGGGAATTTCCTTCGTTCCTCTGCTTCTCTTTGTTTTTGGAGTTCTTCGTACTAAAATAAAAATCAGAGAAGAATTGATCCATGGTTGTACAGCCATTATCATAACAATTCTGTGAAAGAGTTATTCTATTCTATTCTATTCTATTCTATTCTATTCTATTCTATTCTATTCTATTCTATTCTATTCCTACATATACACAACATACTTTTGTTTCATGTTCTTTAAGTAGTTTCCTAATTTCTTCATTTCTCGTATATTCCATGGGATGGTGTCCACTATCATTTTCTAATGTTGGATCTGCACCTAGATATGGGATTAAACAATGCAACAATGTTCAAATATTCAAGTACATGAATAATTATAGCATGTTTAGGCATGTACAATGCACATCGATACAAGACATTTCATAACAAAGCCCTGTCCACAATCCCCCTTTCATTACAATGTTACATAGTACGGGTCCCATATTCAAAATACAAGTGATTTATTTCAGAAGGGATTCATAAAAATTCTACAAGTATATAAATTCTCACCAGAATTGAGTAATAATTTCACCACTTCACAACTGTCACTGAGTATAGCATAGTGTAATGCTGTACAACCTTTGAAATTGGCTCTGACATTGAGACGGTCACAAAAATCATCCTCTCTTGTCACAAGAACTGAAGACAATAAAGAAAAGTTATGAATTACATGTTATTAATCTACAAATTATTGATAAAAGAAAATCATATATATCTAAGAAAACACAGTGATTGATTTAGTACCAAAGTAAAGTGAAAACAAGCAAATGAACGGTTGAAATGGCTCTGCTGTCATTGTGGTGGCCACACACCAAATAGACAAATCAAGGTTAACCCATGGTTTGGTTTTGATTGTTGAGAACATGTCAACTTAACTTCACCAAACGAATTGTAGAAAATAATGTACACCTCAAATATCAAACTAATTGGGTTGGTAGTTCTCAAGAACAAGTTAGTATTTGCCAATATATATTTGAAAATATCGTGAACAAATCTGTCACAGACCCACCCAAGGTACCTACATACCAAGTAGCAAAGCAATCGAGCTGGTAGTTTTTAAAAAAAGTTGAAAATAGCCTTTTTTTACCAAAAATGACAATACTGTGTGCCAAGAATTAGAGATATCGTTGCGAAATGAACACCAAAGGTACCTACATACTAATAGTATCAATGCAATTGAGCTAGTAGTTTTCAAATCAATGTCTATATAAATAAATGTCACAAGAAAACAATATAATCATTCACATGTCATGTTACTCCTGTTACAGATCTATAATTGATCCAGATCTAGGTTAATACAATGAATCAAGGATTGATCCAGATATAGGTTAATACAATGAATCAAGGATTGATCCAGATATAGGTTAATACAGTGAATCAAGGATTGATCCAGATCCAGGTTAACACAGTGAATCAATGATTGATCTAGATCAAGATTGATACAGTGAATCAAGGACTGATTAAAATTGATACAGTGAATCAAGGACTGATTAAAATTGATACAGTGAATCAAGGATTGATACAGATTCAGATTGATACAGTAAATCAAGTATTGTTCCAGATCTAGGTTGATACAGTGAATCAAGGATTGATCCAGATCTAGGTTAATACAGTGAATCAATGATTGATCCAGATCTAGGTTAATACAGGGAATCAATGATTGATCTAGATCTAGGTTAATACAGTGAATCAATGATTGATCCAGATCTAGGTTAATACAGTGAATCAATGATTGATCCAGATCTAGGTTAATACAGTGAATCAAGGATTGATGTACACCAGACTTTCTGAAAGCTATAGATCAATATGTATCAGTTGTGTCTGAACATGACAAGTACATGTATATGAAAAGAATACTATTAAAATAGTATATACCATGCAATGAGTTGATTTTTGTTCTCTGTGACATATCAAACACGTTGGTGAAACCATCTTTCATATTTGGGTCTGCTCCAGCTTCTAATAATACACGGACAGCTCTGCAATATCAACAGAATGTGAGTGGATGGTGAGTGAGTGGATGGTGAGTGAGTGGATGGTAGGTGAGTGGATGGTAGGTGAGTGGATGGTAGGTGAGTGGATGGTGAGTGGATGGTGAAAGAGTGGATGGTAGGTGAGTGGATGGTAGGTGAGTGGATGGTAGGTGAGTGGATAGTAGGTGAGTGGATGGTAGGTGAGTGGATGGTAGGTGAGTGGATGGTAGGTGAGTGGATGGTGAGTGAGTGGATGGTGAGTGAGTGGATGGTGAGAGAGTGGATGGTAGGTGAGTGGATGGTAGGTGAGTGGATGGTAGGTGAGTGGATGGTAGGTGAGTGGATGGTAGGTGAGTGGATGGTAGGTGAGTGGATGGTAGGTGAGTAGATGGTAGGTGAGTAGATGGTGAGGTGAGTAGGATGGTGAGTGAGTGGATGGTGAGGTGAGTGGATGGTGAGGGAGTGGATGGTTAGTGGAGTGGATGGAGAGAATGAATGGAGAGAGAGTGAGAGTGGATGGTAGGTGAGTGGATGGTGAATGAGTGGATGGTAGGTGAGTGGATGGTAGGTGAGTGGATGGTGAGTGAATGGATGGTGAGTGAATG